AGAACCTGCCTGATATGATACCAATACGTGCAGCCTGTGGCATTTTGATTGATATCCATCGTGCAACGGTCCGCGCGTGGGTCTGCAAAAGTCAATGTTTAGGGCGCCAGCAAGATCGGGAGACCTCTCTGCACCCCCCTCAAAGGGAAGCCTTGGATAGCGTTTGAATGTGCGCATGTCACCAGCGAATGGCGTGGCGTCGGTAGTTGAGAGATAATGCATTTACTACACGAAGTAAATGCCGGTTGCGTTGATTGTGCTGGGTCTACTTCAATGCATGCAGTGTTTACGCCGCCAAAATGAGCGAAAAGGTTACAAGCCTGCCGTCTGTCACGCGCCACACGAATGACCTCGATAACAGATTGGGTATGAGCGAGAGCCAGAACTTTCAAGAGCAGCGGATACGTAGCACGCTGTTGCATTGAACCTATACGTTCAAGAGGAAGAACCAAATGGAATGTACCAACCATACTTGCTGCAGTGTGTCTGGCCTGCAGGGTCTCTAAGTTCTCTTTCTCCTAAAAATTGAACGACGAGGACCTTTGCGGTCGGGCTACTGATTGGCCTGTGCACCTTTGAGAAGTCTTATCACTGATTGGACCTACATATACATGTTCCTGAGACATCGTGGCACTTGGCTACACAATGCAAAAGGTTCTGTGTAACATGTGGTGTTAATAGACCGATTGCACCCGCTAAGTCACGTAACATATAGTGGAAATCAGACGTCAACAACATGGCGTCGTTTCCATAGCAAAGCGTGTCATACGTGTCATTCCCCCAAAAGAAAGCTGACGGTCGGTAAAGTACTCAGACGTCTGATGTGCTGAGCGCTACACCGAAAATCCGCTTTATTTTTTTGCAAACAACACTTATGACACACTTTATTTTGGAAACGATCGGGCCATGTTGTTGACGTCTGATTTCCACTCTAGGTCACGTGACTTAGCTGGCTTAATTGGCCCATTGGTGTTCAACACTATCGGTGTTATCGGGGGGGGGGAGACCAATGTTTTTGCAGTGTTCAGTGTTACGTAAACATTCTTTCCATGTAGGACTTGACACGGTTAAGTTTCAAAAACGAGTTTGAAGTGAAGTTAAGAAATCAGATCACCTTCTTGCTTGGATATGACCGTGCCAACCTTGCATGATACACAGTGTGGACCATTGAACAAATGAAATCGGCAAAATGCAGGTTGTGCAGAACCTTGAGTGGGCTAAGCCAGGTCCACATTCACAAGGTTACCCCCTTTCTGGCAAACAGGCCTTTAGGGGTCAGGGTCAACTTCAGCAAAAGCAAGCAGTCAACAAAATCCACCTTATTACAGTGCTATAAATTGCATATTTCAAACAGGTATTTCTTAACTACACAAAAGAAAGAAATGCCCTCAGAGGTAGGTATGTAACGTAAGCATGGCGCGTGGCGTCTGTGTGGTTTATGCATGGTTTATGTTATCCTTTGATCCAACGTGCATGCAACTCAATAGATTGTATTCGTGTTTCGTCCATCTGGGAATGAAAGTGAGGTAAAGCTTTCATTTTGTGAACCCCAAAAGTAAAAACAACAGCGACAAAATAAAAGTTCATACAATTTCATACCAGGTTTGTTTAAGAATTTAAAATTTGTGATAGATTATTTCTGAATGTTTTAAGCCACATTAGAAAATGAAAGTCAGGTTGGAGCTCAAAACAGTCTGGCACCACCCCTTAGAACAGATTTCATTGAGTTTAGTAGACTGAGGGCACAGAACAATAAAAATGGCTTCCTCGCGAATATGGTCTGCTCGTGGATAATAAATGGGCAACCGATCAAACGCGGTGCTGTTGATGTCAACACTGGCAACATAACAATCTCGTACATAATTAAGAACATAATGATGTCTATTGCAGCGCCATACGGCACGGCTGGGCACGAGATGCATTTCGTGCGCATTTAAAAACAAAAGAAAAAAGTCAAGGGTTCTGTCCCCGACATTAATTGCCTTAAATCATTAATGCACGTGCAACGAGAGCATCTACGGCTCGCGATATCTGGACCCTATCGATCAAGGAATTTTTTATTAGGTCTCTTTCTGTCTTTTCTTGTCATTTTCCTGGTTCGGACCGCTTCGGAACCACGCACCGGGCCCAATGCCAGCCGGAGGCGCCGGTTGCCCCGCAATAACGAACGCGCGCTCTCGCGGTTCTTCGTTAACACACGCATGTGGGCCAAACTATTCCCCAACCTCCTTCGAAGAACCGGTCGCTTTGCTTTGCTGCGACGTGCTTCTCCTCCAGATCGAGTACGTTGCCTTTGTAAGGAAGTTATGTCGGCTGATGGTGCACACAAACGACGCACGAGGAGATCTTTACGATGATCGGTCGCGGTAACGCTGTGTAGGCCTGCTTGTAGATCTTGTTCAAGATAGGAAGAATAATCGCTGGTCACGGTCACACCAGTTTTTAAGGCACGAGGACAGGAATCTTAACGATTGAATTTCGTTTCCTGGTTTGTCATCTGTCATGTTTGTGTTAGGGTAAAAGACACAGGTCAGCTGATAGTAGAGTGTCCGTCAAAATGATGGCTTAGAAAGCAAAGTGAAGACTATTATTTCTTCAAGCGCTACATGCAAGCAGTAGCGTTTATTAGGGTTTTTGTTCACCTTGACCGAAATGGATCGCCACCCCGTGGCCAGTTTTACAGACGCAAAAGTTCAAGTTCACGTAAATGCGTTGTGTCCGAAACTCGGGATACAATGCACAAAGCTTTATACTCGCCAATTTGTCATCTGACAACTTGTCATTTTAAGGGCTCTCATAATGAAGGGCTTTTAGTATGGGAGTTTTCATCAATAAGAATTACTACACGGCCCTCGTATATACATGAATTCGCTGAAATTCATTGATCTAGGGTAAAAAAAATTATCTTTCGACAATTTCACGAGGAAGTATAGTCTTCATCTCGACAAATATCATGATAGATTGACGAATAAAATAGAACGTCCGACGAAGAATTGCACATACAACCCCTAGTTGTTATACCGTTTACAAAATATTGCAATGACCACTCACTCATATTGCGATCTCATCCGTATGTAAGAGCAAATCTTAAACTGGTGAGATGTCTCAATTCGCAAAACGTGGTTTCGAAATCGCTCACTCTCGGTAACTGACTATCGATAATCGATAATGAGTATTTCTTCTAAAAATGTTCTCGAACTAATACTGTTGGAAATTCTTTGGAATCGATCCACTAAAAGAATTCTGAAGATCGACATCGGTGTCACCGCTGTCAGAATTCCGCGCCAGTCTTCGCTTCTCCTGCATTCACCACCTTCGTCCTCATGATTACGCCGTCATTCGCTCATCGGATCGTCAGCTTCCTGCTTAATTTGCGCGACGAAATTTGTCGGGGCAGTGACACATCATCACCGCTGTCATCACGGCACCCCCACCCCCGAAAAACAAGTAATCACTTGTCACCCTGTCACGAGACTCCGCAATCATCTTGGTTATCGCCCCTGCGTTTTGCCTGGCACCCGTTGGGCAAAGAAGAAAGACATTTGAATCTTCTCTATGGTCACCATTGCGGTGTGAAGTCGTACCTCTTAAGCCCAGACTTCAGAAACTGCATTCATGGATAGACACCCTCTGGTGCTGAATTAACGCCAGTGGCCCAACGCAGATGGCTGATTTCACACTACGTTTTGTCGGGTATAAAACACTGGTATGTTGGTACAGCATAACAATAGTGGGTATTCCTGCCTAATTTTAAATCTCAGCCCAAATTTGAGTAGGCTTAAAATGTTGCATTGAGTTTCGATTCTCCACCGCTAGATGGCATTTGATTTGCAGTGCATTTGATTTGTTCCTTTCTGATGCGTGAACAAGTATAAAAGTAAGGCAGCAATGGACACAGAATGGCAGAGCAACTCACGAACGCACATTTTACAAGAAAAAGGTCAAAGCTTCGTGCTCCTGGATCACAGCTCAAAATTCATGTTCTGTACAGAAGTTTGGAGCAGTGGGTTGTCACATCCTTCTTTCTGTGCAGGGTTGCAAACTAGTAAAATGAACTGCCATAAATTCCCAGGTAAGTACCCCAACTTCAGAAAAACAGAAGAAAACTTATCGAGGGAGAGTAAGCTTGAGACACGTGAAATGTAGGCTTTATATTTCACCATATTTGTTGATTTTTCTGATTGAGTTCATGCGTATGGGGTAATCCAATGACTCTCGAACATAAATTACATCCAAGGACGATCAAGCCTATAATTATTCTTGAAGCTTATCACCCTTTTAAATAAAGCCTACACTTCATTGCACATCAAATAGAGCAATGTAAGTACCCAGTTTCATCCAAATCTCTCAAAAGTCAAAGCACGCAGTTCTGTATACAGCTTCTGCTCTTCGTTTCCGCAAACCCTCAAGTGTAGGGGGCTAAAAATGATCTAGCAGCAGAGAATTTGGAGGAAATACAAATAGAAGCGATTTAGGGCATATTTTACTAGTCTGCAACCACAGGCTGCGATCTTTGGCGTAAAAAAGTGTTTTCAAATGTTCCCCTCCATTTGATGGTGTTGTCACACCCTAACCAACTAAAAACAACTTGAAGAATGACTGAACTCCTGTGTCCCGGTAGGCTTTTGTAGCCGGCCCATTTTTTTTACGATTTTTAAGATTTATGTCCGTCTTACCGATATCCGAGGAAAAAAAATGTGTGGAAATTGCCTCGCCACTGTGAACTGTTATGTTTGATCAAACAGCACGCTGAGCACAGCAGATGGACTGACCGTACACATAGAGCGTTACTTCTCATGCACCGTACAAATCAGCCAATGTTAGCTCGCCCGTAGACTGGAACGCTGTATACCCGAGACCGCGCAATCGCGTTGAGTCCGTCAGCCACTATAGGCCCCGCCCCACTTCGCTCTGAGTGGATGATGGAAAAAGAAATCGAGCGATGGACGGCCGTGCGTATAAATGGAGAGTGTAACGGGTTGACGAAGCCACATCACCGTTTGTGACAAGACACCCAACGCACTTCAGAAACTGGCTGCCCGAGCACACGACGGCGTGTGATCACTCAGCGCTGATCTGACCGTTGCAAGTACACGAAACACTGACATTTTCATGCAGAAGGGGTCGTTTTTCTCTTGCATCACAGTCTCAACTGCAGGAAAAATAAGACGCAGATGAAATAGTAATCGGTGATAGTTCGAGCACATTTTCCATTGGATGAGTTTCGTATGGACACTGGACGATTTCGAGGCTTTTTGCGGTGGTAGCTTACGGTCTGTACCGATTCGAAAATGTGAAGTACGAAGGAATTGTATCCCTCCTGGGGCTACTCCTTTGTTCTATCACTCTTGACGTGTAACGTTGAGGTACCAGACTGAATGCAACCGCCGTAGCTGTTCTTTGGAGCAGCATTTGAGCTCGGGTCAGCAAAGTCCTCATCAAGATGGGCGCTCAACTGTCGGACTGTCCAGCTCCGCCCCTCAATCTTACCGGCGAGGAGGAGTTCCTCGAAACGTGGGCTCGGGACAGGCTCTCCGTTGTCACGGTGACCGTCATCATGCCCATCTTGTTCTTCGTGGGCTTGGCGGGCAATCTGGCCTTTCTCTTCGTCATGGCGCGGGTGTCGTGGATGCACACCGTGACGAATTACTACCTGGCCAACCTGGCGGTGGCCGACATCTCCTTCCTGGTGACGGCCGTAGGGGAGAAAGTGTGGGAGTACCGATCGACCCCGGTCAACATCGACACGGCGGGCTTCATGGGCCGCCCGGGCTGCATTCTTTTCAACCTTCTCAAGAGCCTAAGTCTCTTCGCCTCCATTTTCCTGGTCACCCTGGTGTCGCTGGAGCGCTTCTACGCCATCTGCAAGCCCGTCCAACACTGGATGCTGAGCGACAAGGGCCGGACGGCCAAGCTACTCCTGGTGACTTGGTCCCTGGCCTTGGTCTTCTCCTGCATGCTCGTGCCAGCCAACTCGGAGATCGCGGCGGCCTGTTTCAACTGGCCGGACACTGACGAGTTTCGCGGCTTCCCTAGCGTCATCGCCAATTGTCACCCGGTTGCGGGGTGGATGCTCCACTTTAAGCTGGCCATGCAAGCCGTGCCCTTCACGCTGGCCATGGTGGGGAACATATCTCTCTACATTATGATCATCAAGAACTTAAACCAACGGGTTGCCGCCAAGGAAAAGAAACAGGCCACCCGCCAGGGCTCTGCCTCGGCGGCCGCTGGCCAGTCCAATGTGTCCCAGAGCCACCAGATCCGCAACACGGTCGCCCGCATGCTGATAGTCAACGGCACGCTGTTTTTCATCTGCCTGTCCCCGTTCCAGTTCACTTCCGTCGGGTTCCTGATTGCCAAAGGGCTGTGGCAGCCCCCGATCTTGGAAAACTACAAGAAGGACATCATGCTAACAATCTTCCGGACACTCACCTACTTCAACTCCGTGATCAACCCCTTCGTGTACACGGTCACCAACAAGAGGTATCGTCACGCCTTCTACGTGGCCTTCACGTTCAGTCGGACGGAGCAGCGTCAGCGGTACTCCAAGAACACGTCGGTGGTCACCACGGACATGTCCACCCGCATGTGAAGGAACCAGGCCTTGATGAATGGCTGGGGCCTGCAAGAACTGGCGGGAGATCATGTGGCGTCCAAAATAGAACACAAATCGACAGAGACATGGTGGAGATTTTTCCCTTTTCACTTTGTCTTGTAGAGCTGCCGATCTGATCTGCCCCTCGGGAGGAGGTACGGTACCTTTCTCGCGCGGAGCCCACGCCCATCAACACCTCACGGTACAGTCACCCAAAGACAGAGAGAGAGAGACAGAGAGATACAGAGTGAGCGAAGAAGAAGAACAAGACGAAGAAGAAGAAGATGTGAAAATGAAACCCGCTCGATATGTTTTGCCTCTGGATTCACTATGGAAACGAGAGGTAGGGATCAACAAAATGGCGTCCAGCTTGCAAGCATCTGGAACGGCTCGTGTTGCATGCATGCATGCAGATGTATCGCCTGACTCCAACTGCAGTCAAGCCGACGGGAGGTCAATCTCGTAAGTGCTACTACGAGATAGAGTTACCCGTTACTCAGCTTTCCTTAAAACTGGGCTGAGTACCATGAGCGAACCACGAAAGATTGGCATTTGGAAATGGAGGGAGATTTTGGTCATTTTTGAATGAAAAACACCCCCTCCTCTAAAAACGATATACGCAAAAAGCCCACCATTTCTAAAGATTATTTGAGGAATCCACGCAGAAAAGACAAAACCGACATCATGATAAGTTTAATCGGGAATTGAAATTTTGATTAGGTTGAGTAGTTGTAAGATGCATAGTGTGTATGAACATGTATTTTGTTACAAGGAGTCCGCACTGGCAACGTGTTATCATAACCCCGTCACGATCTGTATACCAATGACTACGAACCTTAAATAATGCACCAAGGTCATTTTTTTTGCTGTAATGTAAGACTCGCTCACGCTGTCTGTGTAATAAAAGGTATACACTGTAACCATCGTGGACAATTCTCTGGTCACAGTTTCTGGCGACAGCGGGCAATATGGGATGGTAACAGGAATACATTATTATCGGAGAGATATTTCTGTATATAATTACCATGTTTTACTGAGCATTTGTGTTCCACAAGTCCCTCTGCAGTTTATGCAGCTATTCTTATCATTATTGTAAGGGTATTTTTAATTTCTTATGGCCCTTTTTTTATTATTTCCACTGGTTCACGTCGATTGGTACTCCGTATATTTCAGTGCTGTATATGTTTGCACTATTTTGCTCGTTCTGCTGATACGCCGCTACTGTGCGATGCTGTAAAAAAAGAAAAGAAAAAAAAAAGACAGCGCTTGGTTTCATTTTTCGTGACGTGTTCACCCGAGACAAATGGTCCCTAGGTGTCGCGGCGTTACCCCAACGAAGCTGGACTGGAGCGCACCAGGTACTTGTTAAACCGCTCCACAGCGTTCCATCAATTCTTCTCGGTTGCATCCTCACAGAATAACATACCACTCTAGGTATGATCCGACGACCCTGAAACATAAAAGTAGCCCCGTTCTTTAGGATGAGGTTACTGTGATAAAAGAACTCTTGTCTTGGGACGAACCGGTCCTGGTTCGATTTCTATCGGAGCTGTCACTTCCTCACTGAAGCGCGACTGAAATTAATCGCGTGTTCATCTTGGTGCCCTTTCGTTTGTGCTGAAGAGTCTCTTGTATTGTTACGCGTGATTCCTTGCATTGCCTCAATCTATTTGGTCACAGAACGCAAATCTTTCCGCAAAATCAATTCGGTAAACCGAAATTATTGTGTAGCACTATTTTGTTCCACGCTCGAACGGTTCATTTTCCCGCGACAACGTGACTGTCATATAACAGAAAATCACCCCCTTGATAGTTACCTGAAGACTTCAAAGAGACTCCTGAACTTACACGAATTTAAAAATAGCAGCCACGTGGAAAGTTTTATCACCTATTACAGAATGGACTAGTCGAATTCGTATAAAATGACTTTTGCAGTAATATAGATAGAGCCGATGTCAGTGCGTGACGGCATCGAAGCTAAATGAAACATGTTTTTGGATGAATGATTTCTGACATCGTTGTAGTGGTTAATGGCTTTTCCGTTTTTTTCCTCCTGCGGTCCCCGGGGCCTGCATTAAGCCGTATACACCGAGGACCTTAACATCTTAAGTACCCATAGAAAAGAAGCAAATTGAATGTCACAACGTGAACAGCGGTAAGGGTTTGTGCAAATGCTTTGGCTTATATAAAAGAATTGGGCGTATGTGAAATGATTTAAATGTGCCTGGCCTGAAAAGAATGACTTTTAAATTGCCCGCCCTACTCCCAAGGGGGTCGCGACCTGGTTTGGTGGAATCAACTCGTTCTTTTTGCTTTACCGTTTTGAAGAACTGCAGCTTCGGTGCCGCCTAACGACCGCTGTCTTTAGGACAGAACGTCCGTTGAAATGCCAAATTAATTACACGGCTAGAATTGTTCAAAACGAATGAACGGGAAACTCGCAATGCATCATTCAAGGTGAAGAAGAAACGAGACCGGGAACAAAACTCCGAACGGTACGGGTTTAAGTGTTGACACAACTCGTTGGCAACGATGTTTTGGTAGCTACGTACATACGGGCATATATGCACAGGTCCATGGGCAAATAAAATCGTGCACGAGGCGAGAGTTGAAACCCGCCCGAATGAAAGTGAAGGGCAATAGCCGATGTCCTCTCAAAACAGAGTCCGACCGATCCGGAAGCTACATTAGAGCCGGGCTCGGTAGGACAATATACCTGTCTTTGTGAACCCCTTACTGATGAGAATTGCCCTCGAAACGGTTTGTTTTCTGGTCCTAACATTTTCTAAGGGCTCTCATACATGCACTTAGTAATATCAAACAATGACAGTAGTTTTAACATTTTATAAGGCCCTGTTATCCGCCGAGCAAAGACGCTCATAGCGCAGTGTAGACATTGAAAGTTCTTACTTTACAAGGGGGAATTTATGGCGCCACGCGCTTGACTCACTCCATGATCGATGACGAACATTTTTATTCTAGAGGGAGAGGTAGGTTTTTCTTATTGACACGCTACGAAGTGACAACCCTATGCTCATCCCTGTTAGTGCCTGTCTGTGAAAAAAGGTATGGCACTCTCGCATCAAAATGGGTCCATGCGATTCGCCGGTTCTCCAACAGAGATTCTCTAATTGAAGCTAGCCTACGGCTCCCATAATCAACACTAGCGTAATTTCAGCCAATCAGAAGCCTCCTTTGGTATTTAATAATCTTTCTTGCAAATGGCGCCAAAACGGACTAGCACCAAAATGCGAAACACACGTGGGTTTTATGGTTAAACATGTAGAGGTTTATGAAAATGTTCCCGCGAATTGCAATTTGCGTTTTCTTTTAAGTTTTGACTTCTTAAACAGACACGACGACTTGGCCAATGACGATTATAGACCTGACTGTCACTAACCATGGACTTTATTTCTGAGAATATTTTAATTCAAATAAGTCAACATTAAATAATAAAATGCTGTATTCAAAATATTTTTTCCCCTGTAAGTTACAGTTTTTCTGAAGACCAATATTTGCAATGGGTGTTTAGCTCGCGGCTGAAAGAATCTATTAATACGTTTGCTCGGAACATCTTCGAAATGTTCTTCCCAGGAATACCACATACCGAAGGGAAAAAACCACACGCTTAAACATGAGCTTAAATCTGCTTCAAGTTGATTCGCCGCTCAATAAAACCCCCCATCATTAGGTCTCACTCGCTCCCATCATTGCCGTAGGCCGGGTTTTTCTTGGGAAAGACACTACCACAAAAAAGGAGAATAAAAAAGATCCTGGAGGACTTCTCTAGGCACACATCTTGGCTTGCTTGGAATAGGAAAGGAGCGTGCGCGGTAAGCCTCATATTGGTTTGTCCTGATCGATCCGTGTCTTCAACTTGCACAATTAACACCAGGTGCAGACTGTATCCCTGGATTTGAGCTGGCTGTACCGCCGAGAGCTGCTTGCGGTTCACCGTGCCATCCACACCTGCCTTCCCCTCTATTATACTCCGGCAAACCCTTCGGTCCCTCGGGAGCTGGAGACACCACTGACCGGATCATTCGGCTTTTAATATTGCCCGTCCAAGTGTATTTTCGTTGTGATTTTTGTGCAAGGATTTCATAGGATTGGATAAACTCTTTTTTAAATGTCAGTCTTGAGTTTCACGATCAAGATGCTTGCAGTGTGTGTCATTTTGCAACGACTTTACTTTTCTTGAGCGTTGCGATGTTTGGGCAAGGGTCGCTAGCCCTTCTCTGGAAACCAGGCAAAAGGGGGATGCGAAAGAAATTATAAAAATAAAATAATGGATTATTTTATAATTAAAATTTCCCTGGCGCAAATCCATCCTTGGAAATAGAGATAAAAAGGATTGAAGAAATCACCAATTTGCTTGAAATTTTTTTAAATTAACCCCTCTAGCCTCTAACTGTTTTTCATTTTATTTAAACTAATGAGTACTTTTCCCCCTGGAAATTTTCCTTCTGAAACAAGAGGTTCCCTTGGAAAAATTCCTGGAGGCGTCAGTGGCCCTTTAAGTCTTTAAAAACAGATGAAATGAAAACAAAACTGTGAAATGACCAATGATGATAAAAAAGCATCCCAAACTATGAAGTACAATAAATTTCCTTTCGTTCTGGAGACTAAAAATATCAGGCAAACAAATATCACGGCAGTTTCTCATCATCGTTTTTGCGTTCGGAAATTAATGTTTTGCTTCTGCGGGGGTTGCTATTATTGTGACACGTTCGCGCTGTATGTTTTGAACTTTGTAATGAAAACACTGCTCAACGCCTCCCTGGTACGACTAGATCAAATTAGTGGACAAAAAATAAAAACCCGTTGGACAAGATTGCCACGCCGGCTAACAACGACCAATTGTTTCCAAATAACCGCCAGAAAGATCGCAGAAGGTGGAAATTTCTAGCTGAAAAGACAACGGGCAGGCAATTAATGTCAGAGTGTTTTTTTTTTGTTCTCGATTCCCAGTCACTTGCTTGAGCATTTACCTCGTTAAATAATTTGCTTTGTGCAAAGGGAAAACACACAGACGCCGCTCGAGGGTCTGCGTGCTTTGCTCGAAGCCGGGTCTAATGAAGCAACTGCTGACAGACATCCGTGGTAACAAAAGTGCCGGACCGCGCCGTCTCGAAAGCGTGTTACCTCGGTTCAGTTTCTCGGGCGTGATTTTTTTTCTGTTCATATTTTTCCCTGTTTCTTGCCCCTTTCTCTCTTGGCGGAGGCAACTCAAGAAATATTACTCCGAGCCCCGAGCCCTGTTGACCTGACGACTGCCTGACCAGACACATAGTGCAGTGGCTTGACAGCGAGCCAGCGATCTGATAGATTGACGTTGATGCCATGCGATCTCCCCGAGAGCACCTGAATATTCACTGTATACAACTCGTGTCTGCTTCATTACGGGTTACTAATAAGCAATCACTCGCAGAAACAGACGCCGTCGAATGTTTCCCACCCCTCGAGCCATCGAGATTTTTACTCAGGGTGGTTGAAGTGACTACCCAAGATGTGTCGATTTCGGGATGTGGTTGTGAGAATTACTTTCAATGTTGGCCTTTTAATTTTAAGAGTACCGTTGGTGCTCGATTTTATTATTACCCTGAACGCCAGTGCGCATGCTCCAACCTCCGTGTTTGCTGCCACCAAGAGACAGAAATGCCTGCCTAAAACACACCTTCACACACTACATGACAAACTTGTAAAGCGGTCCATGGTGCGAGTTTCGTCCTCCGTGCATGCGCATTAGTTTTTTTTGTCCGGGCCAGATTGGGTCAAGCTCACCACGGGACTCTGCGCGCCACTGTCCCCCGATTCCCGTAACTGACCTACAAGCGCCCCGGAAAAATTTGTTTTAGGGTATGGACTCATCCTCACTCCATCAAGAATCATTATGGTTCAAGGGTAACGTACCTTAGTTTTTCTCCCACGACGTTCGATTACATTCTGACTGTATTGCAGAAAACTGTACCTAACCACCAACGCGTGAAATGTAAATCTCGCATGACTGATTACATGTTGATGTTGTTCTCTCAAGAACGTCTCCGATCAAAGAAAGCTCAGTGTTTTGTCCCAAGCAATGCAATGTCAGCAGATACACGGTGCTGTCATGCCATTCACTTTGCCCCTGGGAGAGAGTTTTTCATGCCGGCGTTCGCGAGAGACTTGCATGATTGTCGTCACTGATTAACCGCGGTCCGTGACAAATACATGGCCTATCATTAACGTGGGAACGTCACCAATTCCGCACCGCTCGCCAGTCCGTCAGCAACAGACGATCAGAGTCGAAGATTTCTGCAGCTCTTTTCTCAACCCGCCAAGTCAAAGTCAGGAATTGAATTTGAGAAAAATGGTGATACATGCATTTACATTTGCCGTTCGGTATATTTTTATATTCCTTATGCGCCAACCACCAATGATTTTACTTAAAGGAATTAACCACCACTATGTTCGTGTTCCTCAAAGATTTACCAATCGTTCCCTCGATAAGACAGGAAAACTTGTGGCTTATTTATCAGTGTGTAATTTCTAGCCTGTTCCCAGGGCCCCCAAAATTACTCCAGCTTTTCAAACCACTTATGTTAGGCTGTGATCAAAAGAAACAGCCAGGCGAACATCTTTGCATCGATCTGGGTGTGCTTATGCATACAGATGTTTCAGACATAGTTGACCTCCGATCTTGCTCATAAATAGGACGGGGAAAATTCCCTGTGATGTCTATGTGGCCCTTCAAATAAACAGTATGTTTGTAATTTCATTTGTATGTTTACAAAATAAGCCTCTGTCGCGACATCTATCATGTCCTGAAGTGAAGGTATACAAGATACTTACATTAAAATTTTCATAGTTCAATCTTTGTATTGAACTCGATACGGAAGCATCAAGGGTTTTTGTTGCTCGGGAATCCTATCAGTTTTTTCCAACATATTCATGCCTACATCCTGTTCCCCTAAAATTAAAGACAATTTCCAACAACTAGACAGAGACGATGACAGGTCGATGTGGATATTTTGAAGGCTCAGGTGCTTCATAAAGGGAGCCCCGAGAGCGGGAACCGACCTTGCACCGCCTTGCAACCTCGTACGTCGGTATGAAATCAAATTTTTGTTCGGTCGCTATGGCAGCTGAACACTGCTCACGTGACGCAAGCCCCCGCAGACGACGACAGACTGCTTTGACGGACGGACCATCAGGCGATTAGCAGGTAAACGTGACTGACGGCGAGATAATCGGCGAACGGATTGACAAGTGAGGATAGCACTGAACATGCCGCCATTTGTGGCTGAAATCATTATGTGGTGCTGACGACCCTGCTAAGAATATTAGAACACTATATAGGGGGCCTACGCGTCTACATTAGCCATTAAGACGCACTGATGTAACTTTTTTTCGTTTCACCTTTTGTACAATCTTTGTGAACTTTTGTCAATCAACAGACCGGTATTCGCTATCTAAACAAGACGTGCGTTGTATTGGAGTGCAATATTTGTCCGAGACGATTCGTTCAAGACTGGTGTCGGGTCGTTTTCATGACCAACTCGAAAAGCATTGTGACAATTATGACATTAGTTACGCCGGGTTTCAAACCAAAAGTTTGAAGGCCATATTTATTTCCAGATCTCTGTTGATGTGTAGGCTAAGAAAGTATACTCACACCAAAGATAATACCTTTGGCTCATTCGTGGTTCAATGAGTTAAATGTTTGACGAAAGTTGCCAATTTTGCAGGCATAAACACCCTATATGCTGTCAACATTCAAGTAACAAAAGCCCCACGTGCGAAAACGGCCAGCCTTGATTTAAGATTGAGCACACGAAAGCTGTAAACTTGCAGGTATTCGCAGACATTCAGGCACGAAATGATCGGGCAAATGCTTTACGGTGTTTAAAGAACAGAAGAGACACTGTCGTTTGGCGCGAGAATTATAGCCGACAGATGTGTTGTTCATATGCGACAAATTTGGCAGGCTCGCGCTAGCCTGTCGTCTGCTGGATAATATGGCCAGCGCTTTCACACCGTGAGTGGTAAATAATTTGGCATTTTCACGGGCAACGGTCATCCATTATGCATCTTCTGAAATAAACAAATGAATGCATGAAGGCCTCCGTTCTCTCCACATATAGACGAGTTCTCAGTTCACAGCACGACATCAGTTATTTTAGCTTGCTTGGAGAAACGATTTTTTCGCGCGCAGATTAAAAGCTGTGTTGGGGGACTGGGGGGGCAGCGCGCTATTGTGATTTTTGATTAAAATTGTTGAATTTAATTTGTAGGAATTCTGGGTTGTTAATATTTTTCGTCGGTTTGTCTTGTGTACATAATGAATGACACCTCGCGCAAATGGGCTGATTATATGGGTCAATCTATAATTGGCCAAGACATAGGTCGGCCGACGGTAGAACCTTACTTATAAACCACACGGTATTTTGTAAATAAACTCTCTGTGTATGAATTAATTAAAGGTGCGTATGAATAAAATTTAGTGTTATTTATGGATATTCATGAGTACATGTGTGCTTACTGGTTGTTCAGCATCGGGGTATGCGTCACTTCGTGACATCGTACCGGTACCAACTGACTCGTGGACTTTAGGGCGAATTCATTTTTGGTATCAACTCGAAATAACTTTCTCTTTTAAAATAATTGCTTGGTGTAAAGATACGAAGTAACGTATAGGGATGTTGCTCGTACCCAATGTCTGGCTTCAGCCTGCAGTAACACAAGGTGTATGCAAATGAATACCAGAATCAGCTTTTGAGTAATGAAAAACCGTTCAAACACAGTTTTCTCCACCGCCCACCCCACCATTTATCGTCCTGTACCAACGCCCATTTTTAGTAAACCGCAACATTGCTAATGATAAAAGACCTGCAGCGTCTACCGGAAACTTACAGGTGCCCTCTACGTGCATAAGAGAAATAAAAGGCACCGGGTTTATTTATTTTTTTATTCAACAACATCATTTTTAAGCTACCAAATAAATTTTTTCCAGGGCCGTTAATAAAGAAGTACCGATGTAAAAACCTGTTATTATTTTGGTCATTTATTTAAGAAGCAACGTGGGAATAACAGTACTGCAGAGACAGTGTACTGGGACATTTAATGACACTAAAGCAAGGTAATCTGAGAAATCATAAGGTATGTGGAATGTGTATGCGCACAGGGGGTGGAGCCACGCGCTCGCTATGCGGGGGGGGAGGGGAGTCTGAAAAGTCGGCATTTCGTGCGAACTGGACGGCCCCAAAGGCTGCGGCCGGCCGCTTGGCAGCGATTACCATGGTAGTACGTACTTGCTGATTTGGCGATCATAGCCTCTTTCTCAAATTTTTGTGAAGGAAGCGTTGACGACGCAAAGCACTGTGGACAGCTTGTTACTGTCACGAAAAATGTGAGGGCTTTCTGTGCATCATGCGCACGTATACTGCGCAAAGCACGAGAAGTGTCGACCTGATCTCATCGGGCATGCAAGGCATCCACCAGGTAACAGCTGCTTAGAATGGGAGGGGCGGTTGATACAAGCGAAGGCCATGCGTTCTGGGAGACCAGACTACTTAAGCACGGCATGACAGAATGTATACTCAGTATAGTTCGTTATCGTTCTGACTGTCGTTTCATCGGATGTTTGCTGGGAAGACTGACCGACCGGCTCACCAGTACCGGGGGCAGGTTTATTTGTCTTCAGGTTCAGGAATTTGTCTTCAGGTGAGAATCACAAGAACAGAATTACATAGCTAGGCGCCTATAGCATAGCGGTAAGCCTAGGCTTACCGCTATGCCAGACCATTGAGCCATTTTTGCTCAACGATCGCCCCGATGAACTGGTAACGACCCATTCGAGATCTGCGATTGGGAATGTCCCAAGGCTGTTTTTTTTCAGTCAGTCGCTTCTTTAATCCAGTGTTTCGAACGTCTGCTTTGCTCGCATTAGTTCTGTGCAATTGAGTAGAGTTCAGGCCACTCACACCCTTAACCAGCCCAAGTGGTGGCTCCATATTGTAGATTCCCACTTAAGTTAAGCCTGTGGCCCAGCCAAATAGGTGCCTATTATGGCGACCCCGATGTTTACAATTCAGATTACCTTATTGGCAGTAATTGGCAGCAAGAACCATCTGTCTGGCATTGGGCCGATTTAGCTTTAAAAAATGAACGAAAGCGCCGGACGAGCACGCACAGAGCTTCCTTTTAACATTTGTTTCGAGTACTGTTTTTGGGTAAGTTGTAGGCCCAATAGTCTACTTGTGGAATTGCTGGCCTCGAAGAAATTATTTGGGAATGTCAAGAATGTTGGAGGGCGGGACGCCAGATAAGAACATTCGGAAACGCTTTTGTATGAGTTGGCAGAAGACCACATGGGGAATCTCTTTCGGGGGACTATAGTTTCGAAGTTTATGAAGAGTTGTGTGTATAAATCTGTTCCGTGATCCTGATTCTTTTCTCAAGGATCTTCAGGAATAACGGATGTCGACAGAGTGAGCTGCCTGTTGAGGCATGAAGGCACCAACCTCGACTCCATGTGCTGCGTGTGCGTTCCTTCACAACCAACATGGCGCGGTAAGGTCGTCCCCGTGGGAACGAGGTTGTGAAGGTATTGAAGCAACTGGCTCTGTCAACGTATGGCTCAAGCATTTGCAACAGCCGAGGACGCGCACTGAATCATTGCCTTGGTATCATTACGTCACCACAAGTGGAATTGAGCTGGCTCTGACATGTCGCAGTTCAGCGTATAGTTCATCAGGCCTTGTATACTGCGTGACAACGGGAGGAAAATATCTAATCAATTTCGCATGAAATGAAGGCATAATCCCTCGCACTGTTTCCAAGTTTATCGTTTGGGAGGCTGTAATAGCTTTGCCACGTTGGGTGGTATTGCGCTTGAATTTCCCGCGGGAGATCGAGACGGGAGTTGGTCGTGGGGGGACCTTCCCCCGGGGAGAAGACTAATCTCGAGTGAAAAGGGCGGGAAATAGTTCGCACCTATTTTCTTTCTGTTCCTTTTCGCCTGACTAATTAGTTTCGCGAAGGACGGGGGGGGGGCTATCCGTCGGACGCCCGGCGTTATCTGTGTCAACAGGGCCTCACTGGTGACACAAGAATTTGGAATTCAATCAGTGAGTGATTAAAATCCGGGCAGACGACCAGATGACTGGGCCTTTCCTCTCAGCTGCACTTTTTTCCCTGTTTTGCGTATTTGCTTAGGCATAGTGAACATGAAGCCCGGTGTGTAAAACATTAATAGACAGAGTTTGCCTGTCGCAATGGGTGTACAGTCAATTTGCAGGGGATTAGAAAAATCGACAAGAAGTCGGGGTACAATGTCATCTAGGAACCATTTTGGCGTTGGCATGGCTTCGTTGAAAATAATTTCTAGAGCAATGCCTTAGACTAGATGTCTCTCTCCAGCCTTGTTAAAGGATCAAAGTTGGCGCACACCAACTGCTCATTTCACTGACAGCTCGTTAGATGAAGTTAAAAAACGACTGTTGTAACTTCTAGATCCCAAGCGCGCAACCATCACCTGGCAATACTAAAAGATAACCGGGTGTCGTCTGCAAGGATAGAGACGGCTGAGCCATGTCACTCCGGCTGTGGCACAAGTGCTATGTTGATTCTGGAAAAACAAGCATAGGGATTTCATGCCCCACTCATAAACGTTGTATAGGCTCAGGCCATAGGCAATTTGTTGTCTTACATCGGAGCCACACGTTACACACCCAGCCTGTTGTCCCCACAACTCGATGTTGGCTTTCCGAATAAAAAAAATATGCCTTTTGCGAGCCAAATTTGAATTAGGCCTAGTTCACTGAGTTATCTGATTACTCAGAAACATAATTTGAATCCCCCAGACTAAAGACACTATACCTCGTGATTCGGGGCAAGCTTTTGCTTAGCAACCATCTCTGGAATGGGCCAGTTCCTTTGTGCCCTTCTTTCATTGAAAACATTCGGCGCAAGGCGTCTATCATGTAGTCTAACTGAGCTAAAGCTTGCCCCGAATCACGAGGTATATACCCAG